GCGGCTTTGCAACAGGCATGTCCCGGTGATCCACAATGTCATCGATGTCGACTTGTCCATCCATGGTTGGGGGCAGCATTGATCTCCTGGAAGGGAATTGATCAGTCTCAGCGAAAGGTGCAAGCTTTGAGGCATGAAAGACTGGGTGAGTGCGTAGGTGTCCAGGGACACAAATGACATAAGTGGGACCATCCATCTCATCTCCCACTATATCTAGGACTTCCCAGGGACAAAAGTATTGAGGCATTAGTTTGCGAGAGACTCCGAATTCCTGTCCTAGCTCGCTAGCCTTGACCCAGACACGTTCCCCTACCTGAAATGTGGACTGTCTACGATGTTGATTCTCAGAAGCAATCATTGCTTGTTGAGCTTTCTTCATGTGCTCGACAGCTTCTTGCAGCAACTTCTCATACTGCACACCGTACTCCAATGTGCCTGGGGTTGCAGCAGGTCGGTTTTCAGGTAGGAGGAAGTCTAACGCGGATCTAGGCTTCCATCCCAAGTGTACCTGGTTAGGACTCACGCCGGTGCTGCTGTGCACAACATTGTTGTACAGACTGGCGATGAGTGGCAACTTCTCATCCCAGTCATCTTGGCTGGGCTTGATGTAATGCCTCAGCAAATGCTGTACAACTCTATTCATCTGTTCGGCTTGTCCGTTGGCTTCGGGATGATTCCCTGAAGTCATTTGAAGTTGACTGCCCATTTGTTCCGCAGTCTTCTTCCATAGCTCACTTGTGAATCAAATGTCTCTATCACTAACGATAGTCTTTGGTAAACCAAAGTCCCTCACCCAGTTGTCCTTAAACAACTTGATGACATGGTCAGTCCTCGCACTTTCTAGCATGGCGACTAGCCTAGCGTACTTGGTGAATCGGTCTATGATGATGAAGATGTGCCTTTTACCACTCTTGCTAGTTACCAGGGTGTCCATGAAATCCATGGAAACACTCTGTCCTGGACCAGCAGGAATAGGTAAGGGCTTAAGCAACCCAAGCGGTGCTTGAGCTCGCGGCTTGTCCCGTGGACAGACATGACAGGTCTCTACGTACTTCTTTGCGTCATCAAACATACAAGGCCACCAAAATCGTTGAACTGGATTAACACTCGTTTTCTTGTAGCCAAAGTGACCCGTTCCATCATGACATTCTCCTAAAAATAAACTACGCAACTGTTCACTAGACGGAACTACCTATCTCTTTATTCCGGCTCTATCAAGATAGAGTAGCCTGTCCACCATCACAAACTCACTTTCTGTGGCCTTGTCTTTTGCCTGAAGTTTGCGGATGATGTCCATCCTGACAGGGTCTTCCTGATAGGCTCCCACCAATGATTGAGTTACTTCATTAGTTACGCCAAAGTCAGAAACTAGAGCAACTAGGTAGTCTCCTCTACGGGATAGTGCATCTGCAACCTTGTTGTACTCTCCCTTCAGGTACTCAAGTTTGAAGTCATATTGGTCTATGACCTCAATCCATCGCTTGAGTGCATCAGAAAGAGTCGGTTGAGTCTTGATCCATTTGAGGGTCTGATGATCAGTCCTCAGATAGAAGAACCTTCCCAAAAGGAAGTGTCTCCAATGGACAAGTGCCTTATAGAGAGCATAGA